TTGGAACTAGAAAGAGAAAGAGAGAGGGGTGGCATACATGTTAATCACGTTTGGTTTGCTTGTGTCTCAATCCCATGAGCTTAATAATGTATATATAGAACTATAGTAGGGATTCTAAGGAGATGAGGACTAGGGCTCCTTAAGCATTGGGTCTAACTGTGAGTCAAGCCCACTCTTGCCAATACTTAAATAATGTTTTGGTCCACTAACAAAAGCATTATTAAACTCTTTTATCCTCCTCAAAATTATATTCGAGAATCCAATATAATTAATTGAATTACCTCCCCATGTTTAAGATATAATGTTCATTAATTAATTCGATTACTGACAATCAAGAAATAATTAATATATTATAATACCACAACTAACGTCGTTCATCATATTGTTATTATGCTGGAACTTAATCCACCTGCAGAGTTTAGCATAACAATCTTTCATGAACTCATTTCGGGGACATCATCAAACTGTCGCACATGGTGGCCGTAAATATTCTAACAGTCCATCGTACATACATTAATATTACCCAAAATAAGTATGTCGATTAAGTAAACTGAATCTCACATAAGTGAATCAGAGTAATAATTACGATATGTACATGTCTGTTTATATCTTACGGGTTAAGAAAACACAATAATTAACTGAGACTTGAGTTTGTTTACGACGATCAGTATAAAACAAACTGCTACTCTCTGGGATCATGTTCAATACATAAATGTACTAGTGCAACTAATCAGTCAAGACCAACCATACAGTTGACACTACACCCGTTCCGATAGTTTGTTCATTTCCATATAGGTTATGAACCAACAATTCTTGTTTCGCAAGTAACTGATAAAGTGATCTTATGTTCACCCGATAATGAACCAATCTATCTATGTGCAAAACAATAGAACATAGAACTTGTTTAATCAAACATGATTCTCATTCAACAAAGATAAAGTGTAATATCATCTAAACCCAAGCTTTCAGTATATACCAACAAAGGTTTCATTGCAAAGGGTCATGAGCATCTAATGTGTAAACTGAATCGGTCCATTTATGGACTGAAAGTGGCGTCTAGATCTTAGAATATCTGATTCGATGAGGTGATCCAGATATACTGGTTAACGCGACGTCCACGCAATGGGAGCGTGGTGATGTTTCTTGTGGTCAACGTAGATGATATACTTTTAATTGGAAACAATAAGAAGGAATTGTTAGACATAAAGGTGTGGTTATTCGAGTAGTTTGATATGAAAGACATAGGTGAAGCATGATAATTTCTTGGTATCAAGGTCATTTGAGACCGTGAGAAGAAAATGTTGTGCTTATCCCACTTTTCATGCATACACTGTCTTGGCTAGGTTCAACATGCAGAATTCCAAGAAATGGCTCTTACTTTTTCAACATGGGATACCTTTGTCTGAGGAGATGTCTCCCAAGACACTCCAAGAGATAGGGTACATAAAGGTAGTTCCTTATGCTTCGGAAGCAGGAAGCCTCATGTATGCAATGTTGTGCATGAGGCCGTATATTAGGTACGTTGTTGGCATGTAGCTAGATATCAAAGTAATCATGGTCCGGAACATTTGTCTTCAGTGAAGTATATACTCAAGTACCTGAGAAGGATTAAGGAGTACGTGTTAGTTTACAACAGCTTGTTACTGTTGGGTTACACGGATTTCGACTTCTAGTCATACCGGGATGAAATTAAATCTACCTATGAAGAGTATACTTCTGAGGCGATGAAAGAGGCAGTTCGACTCAAAAGCTTTTTGATGGACATAGAGGTGATTCCGAGCTTGCCACAGCCTGCCACAGTTTATTTTGATAACAGTGGTACAATAGATAACTCAAGGGAACCATGAGCCCACAAGGTTAGTAAACGCATAGAGCGCAAATATCACCTAATACGAGAAATCGTAGGGAGATGAGACGTCAAGGTTGCCAAGATTGTATTGGAGGACAACCTAGCTGATCCTTTCACGAAGGGTCTACTGGAGAAGGTGTTCGTCAAGCACGTGGAAGGAATGAGAGTTAGATGTGAGGCGCCAGGATCGACATTGCGCTCTTTTAGAATATTGAAAGATGTATACTAGTTAAAGTGGAAGCTTTCAGTATAAGTGAGAGATTGTTATTGTATATACTGAAAGCTTAAATGTATATGCTATTTACACTATGACTGTTGAATGATAATTCATATTTTATTAAACAAGTTATATGTTCTGTTGTTTTGTACGAGGATGAATGGTTGATCGAGGATGGGCAGAAGATAATTTATCCGTATCTTGCAAAACATAAAGAAATTGGTTAAAAATCTGGATGGAAATTGACCAAGCCATCAGAATGGTTGTAGTGACAATGGTACAGTTGGTCTTCATTGATTAATTTACTGGTCGTTGTAAGCGAACTAGGCCTTGACTAATTACTGTGTTCTCTTAATCCGTAAGATATAAATAGACATCTGTATGTAGTAGTTACTACTTTGATTCTTTATGGTGAGGTTCATTAAGTTTGGATCAATAATCCGTGGAGGATAATTTTTATCACAATTTAAGTGTAACTCATTACCTGATCCTAAGGTCTTCATGTAGATTGTAAGGGGGTGATTGTTCATGGAGCAACTAGTTTTTATTTGGCTTGTTTTTTAACTGTAGTTAATTTTTAAAAAAATGTGGTATGCAATGACGAATCTAGGAATTTCATTGAAGGTGACCCGATTTTAAATGTTATAACGAGCTTGTAGTTTAAGTCGAAACGCTCATTTTTTATAAAAATGTATATAAATATAAATTCGATATGCGTACCATCAAGTTTTTAAAAAAAACTTAGAAAATCCGTATCACCCTCAAACTTTAAAAAAAATAAACAAAAAAGTGAGATTTTATTTATTTATAATTTAAGAATAAAAAAAACTTTTGCAGCACACTGTGTTTATCAAATGAACATTTTTTAAGAGGAAAAAAAAAATAAACAAGAACTTTTGCGATATATTGCATATAATTTTTGCGAATTAAAGGTTATTATATGAACATTTTTTAAAAAAAAAATAAATGGATTTTAAAATATGTGATTTTACACACAAAAAAAAGTGAAAAATCAACATGAAAAGAATGTAGCAATCCAACTAAATACTAGGTTTTATAAATTTCTAAATCGATTTACAATTGAGAGATCGAAAGAATAAATTAGTATAAATATTTTTAAAAAATTATTTAAAATAAAAAATAGAATGATTGTTAGTACATTTTAATAATAATATTATTAATTTAATTTAATATAGCATAAAAATAATGTTAAAAATAATATATATTAAAAAATAAAATCAGTGGGGCCCACTGGCCCCCTGGCCCCAACACAACTACGTCTCTGGTGGTAAGCTTAGTTGTTAGTGGATATATTAAAATTATATTTAAAAAATAATAATTAAAGTTGATTTGTTGTAAAGTAGGAGAACAATGATTAAAAGTAATTGTTAGTTAAACTTATGTGAGTGAATGAATAATGAATTAAAGTTGATGTGATGTATAAGAATGATTGGTTGATATTATTTAATTATATTGATAATATTGGAGATAATGAAGTTGAGGTAAGATTGAGTTAATTTTGAGTTTTGATTGATTTTTTTAATGTAGAAACTATATCCAATCTCCCCCTAAGTCCCTAGACGGCGAGGTCAACACGCTCTAACACAATTTCCTACAACCATCCTGATCTTAAGGTTACTATGCAAGGACTGTGCATCCCCAGATGGCGAGGTCTGCACACTCTATGCACGATTTCCTACAATCATTAATGGAAGTTCGTCATGATCATCCTTCAACTAACTTTTAGTAATGTCACCAAACGACGAAGCTCACACTTCAAATAAATTGCATCACTGACAAAGCGATAATGTAAGCCATAAAATTTTAAAACTAACTTTAGTTTAAAATTGTGAATTGCTATTTACCGCCCCTCTTTTACTAATCACCGCCCCCCCAATTACGTTTTTGCCCTTATGACTATCTCTCTACTTTCTCTCTCTACTCTTTCCTTCTCGACTTTTCACGGCTCTTTTGACCGTAAAAAAAGGTTGAAAAAATCCGAAAAAAATACCATGACATCGGCAACACATTGAAGATTGACTATATATTTTTTTATATTTTTTCACTTTACAAATAATTTTTTTAATTTTTTTTTTTATTTTTTTTTTTTCGTGTCCGGCCGGACGGACCGGACACACCAATGGGTGTCCGGCCGGACGGACCGGACACACCAATGGGTGTCCAGCCGGACGGACCGGACAAGTAATATAGCGTCCGGCCGAACCGGTCGGACACCCATTGGTGTGTCCGGTCCGTCCGGCCGGACACGAAAAAAAAATAAAAAAAAAAATTAAAAAATTATTTGTAAAGTGAAAAAATATAAAAAAAATACATAGTCAATCTTCAATGTATTGCCGATGTCATGGTATTTTTTTTGGATTTTTTCGACATTTTTTTGACGGTCAAAAAAGCCGTGAAAAGTCGAGAGGGAAAGAGTAGAGAGAGAAAGTAGAGAGATAGTCATAAGGGAAAAAAGTAATTGGGGGATGGTGATTAGTAAAATGGGGACGATAAATAGTAATACCCTTAAAATTTCATTCCGCCATAATATTTTAAATGAAGATTTTTTAATATAAAATATCACCTAGCATGAGTGGACTTTAGAAAATAGATTGTAGGCGTATTTTTGGTTTAGCCCATTCAAATCACAGCTCCAAATCCTGGACTTCGTTATTGGGCCCCCAGGTCCATTTTTGCCTTTCTTCTTTCTCCGCCGTCTTCTCCATCGACTAAATCACAGGCGCAGACACACACGGCGGCCGGCGAGCAGTAGCAGCGGCGCCCACCCATTGCCATCTCTCTATTTTCTTTTAAAGAACAATCACGCGTACAGTCGCTCTTTCTGCGCATTCAGCAGCGTGGATTTTTTTTTAACCCGCTCTCACTTTACGCAGTGGAGCTCAAATGCACGCTGCTGAAGTATCAATTTGATAAATGTATAAAGCACTTGGCAAGCAACGACTAGTATACCGTTCTCTCATTGCAAGCTACGTCAAAACTGGTCTTGTTGATCAGGCAATCCAAGTGTTCGACCAAATGTCTCACTCAGACTGCAGAATATTCTCCGTAGACTACAATCGGTTCCTGGGCGTCCTGATAAAGTACCGGCGTCTTGAGCTTTCCGAGTACTACTATTACTCCATGAAAGCAAAAGGGTTTTCTCTAAATTCCTTTACTTACTCGAGATTCATCTCGGGGTTGTGTGAAGTTAGAAACTTTGGGCTTGTCCTTAGGCTTTTTGAAGACATGGATAGCCTGAGTATCGTGCCTGATATCTTTGCTTTTAATATCTATTTGAATCTTCTATGCAGTGAGAAATTAGTGGATGAGGCTTTGAAAGTGATCGGAATAATGGGAGAAAAGGGGCGTGGGCCTGATGTAGTGAGCTACACTATTATCATCAGCGGATTATTTAGAGTTAATCGGCATGTTGAGGCGGTTGAAATGTGGAAGCATATGATCAAGAAAGGTCATAACCCAGATGACAATGCTTGCAGGGCACTTGTTCTAGGGTTATGTGATTGTGGGAAAGTTGATTTGGCTTATGAGCTCACCTTGGGGGACATGAGGGGAAAGGTAAGTTTTAGTGTCGCAATTTATAATGTTCTCATACATGGGTTCTGTCGGCTAGGTAGGGTTGATAAGGCACTTGCGATTAAAAATTTTATGAGAAAAAATGGTTGTGAGCCTGATTTGATAACACACAATGTGTTGTTGAACTATTGTTGCAACGCGCTAATGTTAGATGAGGCCGAGAAATTGTTGTTGAAAATGGAGAGGAGTGGGATGCATCCTGATACCTACAGCTATAATGAGCTTCTAAAGGGTCTCTGCAAAACTAATAGAGTGGATAAGGCTTATATTTTCTTAGTTAACACAATGGGGGCTAAAGGGCTTGCTGATGTCGTATCTTACAATACGATCATTAGTGCTCTTTGCAAAGCTGGTCGTGCCAGGGATGCTTATGATCTCTTGGGGGAGATGGGCAGGAAAGGCATTTTTCCCGATGTGGTAACATTCACGATCCTCATAGATGCTTTCCTGAAAGGTGGAAACTCAGTTTTAGCCAATGACCTTCTTGACCAAATGACCAAGATGAGTCTATTTCCGAGTCTTGAGTTGTACACAACCATTATTGATCATTTATGCAAGACAGGTCAAATTGGTGTGGCTCATAGTATTTTTCGTGATGTTATGGAGCAGAATATTGGCCCGGACGTGGTGTGCTATAATGCACTGATAAGTGGATACTGCAACTCTTTTCAAGTTAGTGAAGCCCTGAATCTTTTTGAGGAAATGCGAACTAGAAGAGTTGATCCAGATGAAGTGACTTTCAAATTGATCATTAAAGGACTCATAAAGGAAAATAAGCTTTCTTTGGCTTGCGGAGTCTGGGATCAAATGATGGACACGGGATTTACACTCGATAGTTATTTGTCTGAGACATTAATTAATGCCATCAACACTAAAGGGGTCTCATGAGGTAACTATTGCAACAAATCGCTATCTTGATTCTTATACTTTAACCTCCATTATAAAATACACAAATTCTTGTGTGAGGTGACTTGACAGTGAGGCTGGTCGATCTATCATACCTATTTAACAAAGATGCATTCTTATGCAATGAAATGTCATCCTTTTCATTTAATTTGTTTTCTAGAGTATAACATTTCGATTTGAGAGTAACAATATCACTTAACAAGTTATTGCGGCCTAACCGTTGGACCTGCCTAACAACCATACTAACTTATAATGTGTTCATTTATTTCCAGCATACAACTTTGTATTTGTGATTGTCAGCTTTGAGTTGTAAAATATTGCAAAGGCGTGTCATGTTACTGTTTGTTCATTGGTATTCGTAATTCACTTAAGCAGTGTGTGTCCGCCAGACTGCCAGATTTTGGAAATAATTAAGTATTTCTCAAACAAAGTGAGTCTAGATCAACTTGTGGCAAATACGAGTTTGTTATCAAATGATCAAATCTTACAATATGCTCAGTATATATTGCTGTCTGGACTAAGATTTGTTATTAGTTGTTGGTTGATGCAGGATAGAGCCTATACATATTTCCTTGAGAATAGAGTGTTGAATCAGAAATGTCCACTCTTCGGGGTGGTTAGGTGTGGCTGCCAGTTGCTTAATGTTTTGACACTGCCAAAGTTTGTCCTGAGTGGCCTTCCTGATGAAGTGTAGGGCCTCTTTCTGTGTCATTGTCCTTGAATGCAGGTGAAGAAGAGTTTTTGTTTAATGCTTTTTCCCAACTTTTTCCCAAATTTATGTGAGAATGTTTTCACTTAAGCTTTACCTACTAATTGAATACTACTTTGTGCTTGGTATTGCCGCCTTGAACTATGCTAACTTTAAAGGATTCCTTATATCACCAACTAGTGAGTTTACTGGACTTCCTTGTTCTTCTTAATTTCATCCTTGCACAACTTGAAAAGCACAAATTTGAACCAGGCAGAGCCAACGAGCATAGTGGGGTCTTGGTTGCTTCTAAACTCATCTCCATATTTCTGTTTATTTTTTATACACACCATGTTCTTAGAAGCAACTGCATTGGTGCACGTACAATGCAAAACCCTTTGATGCGTGCTTTCTTGCATTGTTTTTTTAACAATTTCCATACATATTGTAGGAAAAGATACAATTTGTTGCCAACTCTTGTGGGATCATGCTCTGCTTTCAGCGGAGATCAAGAGGCTTTAATGAGGTTCAAATATCACGAAAATCCAATAGCTATCTCTAGACGCTCATGAGATATGTCTTGGGAGTTGCAGCTAGCAAAAGGATGCAAAAATCACGAGAAATTAAACATATAATGTTAAAATGGGTAAGGGTTTTGGAATTTAATTATACCATAAAATCTTGATGTACAATTTTTTCTAGCTTTGGTGCATGTTTTTCCTCAAATAATGAAGTCTAATGTTCTCGTATTGCTTACTCAGGTAAGGTGATTAACCATTTTTAAACCAGGAGCACTGACTAGGTACGCATCAGTGACGTATAGGAAATGCTAAATATACCACATCAAAAGTCAGAGATTATACTTTAAGAAGATAAGCTACAACAGTTAAGTACACATTTGGCTTTGCATATGAAACTGATGAAGGCTAACACAAGGGTGAACAAGGAGACAACATACAATTTAAGGTGGGAAGAGATTTTGTCACTGGAGGAGAGTTAAAGGAGATACCTGCTAGAAAACGAAGCCAATATTTTAGATGACTCGTCTGCATCACACTAGGCAATCTGAACAATGTCCAACAAAAAGATGCTAGGCTGCCTTGAATTTTCAACATTGGTTAAGCCTGAAGGCCCTTAGCACCACGCACAGCACCAGTGACTGTTACGATGTTTGGATGAATATATGAAAATGGGAGGAAAATTTTCGAGACGACCGGTAATAAGGTCTGTTGTATTTTTATATGAAAATGGGAGGTATACTGCTAGAACAGAGAGAATGGCTGTCTAAAGGGCTGGACTTTCTGTCTAAAGGGCTAGACTTGGGGTGGCAGAAGGTGGAGTTATTGCAGAAGGTGATAATTGATATTGCTTTCTGGGATGTTGCGGTGTTAGCTGAAGATATTTGCTCTGTTTTAGCTTTGTTTGCTTCCTGTACTATTGTGGATTGTTGTTAGACTTCTTCTTACTTCTTTGTGTTTTTCTTAGGAGTGTGTGTGTAATCAGGGGCGGGTATAAGTATGCCATAGGGGTACTATTGTCCTCCCTACTTTTAATTTTTTTACTATACATTAATACATATATATAGACATTTTGCCAACAATTTACTCTTTCTTACCGTGTATAATATATACTATATATGTATTCATATTATAAGCATATCCATTTTATACATATACCTCGTAATCATTACCAGTTACTAAGAATTTTAACTATACCATATTTTTGTAAGTAATTATCCACTTTTTCAATATAATATTTGTGTTTTTCTTTTTATAATATAATATAGTGATTAATTAATGTACGAAAAATGTGAAAATATGAAAATAAATAATTCTAAATAGGGATTTGAAAAAAAAAATAATTTTAAATAGGGATTTGAAAAAAAATTTGCAAGAATTATTTGGATAGAGTCAATTGTTGATGAGCCTCGTGATTTGAAATAATGTCGATCACAAAGTTAAAATATCAAACTTCAGCATTTATGTCTATTGTAGAATACTTTTATAATTTATGCTATCGAATTTAAAATGCAACATTACGCCTTATATGCATATAAAATGTGATATTATTGAATATTATATATCCCTTCTAGAGGTGTTATTGGAGTAGAGTTGCACGCCTTATAATCAATCTCGTGTTTGTTTAATAAATGTGACTTGGCTGACTCATTAAATAAACGAACAAAAAATGTGAGTCTAAGCTTGATTCATTTAATAAGGAAATTTGATTTGTTGCTTGAATTTTCACGGGTCAATTTGAGATATATTTGCAAATAATTTGTTTCAAGTGACAATTTTAGTCCCCACCAATTTTTTTTTTTTTTTCGATACGCATTGTGTTGTTTGGTTTCAAGGCCTAGTTTTGGTTCTTAGAGCATTCACAATGATCTTAATCCATTCAAAAATATATACAGGCCACGTAGGAAATAAACACAATCTAAAATAATATATACTTTAATTGCAAGTGCAAGGGGTTGTGTCCTGCTAATGTGACACAAAAAAAGAGACTCGGTCTACTCTTAAGGCTATTTTTGACCCAAAGAGAAACACAGTTTTTTTTGCATTGGAGTCAATTTTGTTATTTTCATATATTTTTGTCCACGTGATCCAAGACTTAAGTCTATTTATACATACATAAGCAAAATTAGACGCAAAACATTACAAATACTGTTAGGAGATTTCGACTATTGATTTCCTCTCTAGGTCTCCTTATCTAGATTTGTCTAGACATGGGCCATGTTCAACTCGTTGGTTGATTGTGGTGTACATTATGAGTAGACGTATCCAAAGGCCGGGCAGTGTTGGCGGGCCTCAAATGCTGGGCCCAGAACCAGCCCGACTATATCTAAGGACTGGTTCAAATGAATCGGCCCGACCTGACAATTCATTGAACCGCCGGTAAAAAAAAAAAAAAAAAAAAAACTAAGACCTGCCTTCCGACTCGAAACTGGCCCGATCAGTGAGTCAAAAAAAAAAAAGAAAACTAAGACCCAAAATCAGCCCGATTTTATTATGAGCCCGGTTCCAAGACCCGTAGTCTGGCTCGGTTCCGGGGCGTCTCCGAACCAGGTCGGCCCTTGCCATGTCTAATTATGATTTATAATTTGAGGAAATGCTACAATCTCATTACGGAACCATTCCGTCGGGTTTTGCAACCGTTATATCATCATGTAACCATTGAAGATAGTTGATCTAACGGTTACAAACCCCTACGGAATGATTCTGTAACGGGACCCGTCGCATCTCCTTTTAATTTGATACTAGTATTCGACCTGTGCATTTGCACAGATGTAAATATGGTATTATGAGTTATTTGTATGCATATAGTTATTAATAATTTTTCTTGCACTTTTGGTCGGCCAAATTTACATTTAAAAGAGCTAGAATATTTATTTTTTTAAATTGCGTTTATCATATTGGATGTAATGTATATTTTGGTATGTATTTTTTTTTATGAATTATTTATTATTTATTTAAGGATTTCAAAAATGTTTTTTTATTTTTCAAAAGAAGTTAATTTAATTGTAACCACAACAATAACATCTAATCACGTTAAATAGTCAACACATTATATGGTCAGCTGTAATTAAATCAAAAGT